ATCACAAAAGGGGTTGAAGCTTCATCATTATCTGATGCCCCTTTGGCACAACAAGCCAAACTTGAGTCAGTAGCCAGGGCTTGTGAATTAGGAAAAGGAAAAAAGGATTGATATCTATACTGATAGCAGGTATGCATTTGGGGTGGCACATGGGATGCTATGGAAACATTGGGGCTTCCTCACCTCCTCAGGACAGCCATTAAAAATCAGAAACAGGTTTCCTGTCTATTAGATTGTTTACTGCTTCCCCAGGCTGTAGCAGTAATTAAAATTCCAGGGCACAGCCAAGAAAACACCATTCATGCCCGTTGAAATCACCAGGCTGATGGCAGCTAAAACCACAGCTTTAACTCCCCAAACTCCTGAGAGCCTGGCTCCCATAGTACAGGTTCCTATGGAACTTTCACTTTGCCCCATAAGTACAGCCTTAGCTTACATCTCACCCTGAAGGCCTGCCCAAGCCTCTTAGCCTAGCAAAAGAAGAGATAGCCACAGTCCAGAAAAGAATGCTTATCACAAAGCAAGAAAAGCTTCAAAAGGAAGGATGTAAGCTTGATAAAACTATGGGATTAAATTGGATTAAATGGCCCAAATGGATTTATAGTACTCCCTAAGAATTTATCCCTCCCTATGATAGAACACCTTCATTCATTCAGCCATTGGAGACCTGACAAGCTAGTGGAGCTTGCCTGAAATTATTGGTGGTGGTGGTGGGGTTTAGAGGGCTGCTGTCACTGACTATAAGATGTGTCCCACCTGCCCCAAGCACAATGCATCCAAGCCTGTGAAGCCTGCCTGTGGCAGTTTCCTCTCCCAGATTCATCCTTTGAAACCTGGCAGATCAACTTCATTCAATTGTGACCCACCCATGGTTACAAATATGCTTTGGTTATAGTCTGTGTGTTCTCCCAGTAGGTGGAAATGTTCCCTTGTTGTACTGCCACAACCTCTGGGGTAGCAAAAATCCTTAGAAAAAATCATTCCATTATGGTGTGTGTGTGTGTGGGGGGGTGGTTCCTAAGGAGATATATAGTGATAGAAGTACCCATTTCATAAGAGCTTCATTAGCTAAGCTATTTTCATCCCGGCTAATTATTCAGCCCCTCCATTGTGCCTATCATCTCCAGTCATCAGGAATGGTTGAAAGAGTTAATGGGATACTTAAAACCTGCCTTGCTAAATTCTCTGAGGAGATAGGTATCCCCTGGCCTAAAACTCTTCCTTTAGCCCTGCTAAGCCTTAGATCTAGATCATTTGGTTCCCGTAAGTTCAGTCCCTATGAGAGATACCCAATGCCACTGTATTGGTGGGTGGGAAGCATAGCAGCCAAAGACTCCCTCCTACAGTGCTATATTGGGTTAGCTCAGAAAATAGCAGAGACTTACCAACTTGTCTCAGAGTCCCATTCTTTAGAAACTCTAACCAAGACAGCTCCTGATTCCACCCAGTAACTGGGTATAGTGGAAACATCATCATTGAAAACACTCCTTGGAGCCAAGGTGGAAAGGTCCTGTTCACCACCTCTACTGTAGCCAAGCTCTTGCAGAGTGGAGTCCTGGATCCGGCTGTCACAGCTTAAAAGGACAGTACCACCCACCTGGATTGTGGAACCTACTGGTGACCCGACCCTAAACATTAAATGGAATCCAAAGCAGCCGACATCGGAGGTAGACAGACCCCACGCTGAGAAGCAGACGAAAGCAGATGTAGACCACCGACCGAAGACACCAGATGTGGGCTGAGGTTTGCAGTTACTCCTTCTATAAATTAAACCTTTTCTTTCTCCTTGCCACTGTCCTCTCAATCTCAATGTTCATGGAAGTAGCAGTTTTTTTCCCTTTCACTTTTACATTGTACTTATCTCCCTAAGTTGAGATTAGTGAAAAATTTGCTATTTAAGGTAAAAATTCCTGGTACTGTAATTTGTTTTGAATTTTGATTTACCAGGATGGTTATCTGAATTGTCACAAAGCCAATAATAGAAAATGGCATGTGTGGCAATCTAGGAACTTCAAAGGTGGATGTTTGTACCTGGGAAAGGTTGTGAGGATGACCTAGGACACAGTCTAGTTTGGATCCCTCTGACTCTATTTCTCCACTGTGTTATTTGGAAAAGAAAAATTCCCACCTGGCTAATCCTGAGCCTTGCTTTTAACACTCTGTGTCTACATAATTGACAGATATCGTCAGATAAGACTCATGCCTGGAATCAAACAGAGCTAAGGGAGTTTTTCCCTTGTTAAATGATAGCTAAGTCCCTCTTTTTCTTTTTGTAACATTCTCCCTAGTCTGATTTTTTTTTTCTTTATTTGCCTTGCTGTCTACCTTGGCATTCTATTTGTAACTCACTTATTTTTGTATAAAATCAAAATCATGTTTAAGATGAATGTTTCTCATCAGTCTTCAGGGTCATTCCTATTTTGACTTAAAGGAGGGAATGTGAAGGGAATTATGATTTTCATATTAATTGATATATGTGTAATTAATATATTAGTAATTTAGATTTCGCAGAGCTGCCTTTTCTGGCTTGGGAGTCAGAAGCTTACAATGTGACTGAAATGATCAATTAAACCCTTGACAATGCTCTCATAGTCACTACATTCTTGTGCCTGTGTACCTTAAGTGAAGCAAATCAAAGATTGTAGAACCTGTTGCTGTCATAGAACTCTGGTTCTGTGACCCACCAAGTAACAACCCCCCAAGGACTTGAAACAATACTGTTCCCCTAGGACTCCAGAACACCTGTACTGTCCTACACTCATGGGGCTTGTCATGGGAAACTCCTCAGGCCCTGGAAATGATTGTTTGTTAGTTACCTTTCCCGCACTTTTCCCACTTGTGATTTATATAACTTGTGCCTTTATTTCAGCATGCAGAATATTCCTCACTCTGAAACTGATTAATTAAACCACTACTTGATTCCTGGCACTCCTGTCTCTAGGTCTGTTTTGTGCGGCTCCAGCTGTTCACAGGTTAGAGACTGACGGAGTGACATCCTGTTAACGGATATAAATCTATGATTCTTAGGCTGTTTCTATGCATCTTGTCTTGGAGATCAGCATGCTTTGCTTGGATAAAGAGCATGTTTTCTTTTTATGGTAGTGTTTTTTGTTTCTCTTCTAAATTGTTCTTCACCTTTGTAAATTTGCATTTCTGGGGCCATTACCAGTTGTCTCTGACTTTTGTCATGCCACTGGACTCTGACGACTCTGGAGGAGAGAGCAAGGCTGATGACTTTGTACAGCTCTGCCTCACTTAAATTCAATTCACGTGCAAACCAAGACATCACCCTTGCAATGTCATTGGCTCTCTTGGAGAACTAAGAATGAACAACAAACAACAACAATTTACATTCCCAATTGATTGTTCACTCTTCGGTTTCTTTGGTGAGATTTGCCATCACAGATTCAAGTATTTCTATTATTTTTGCTGTGCAGGCCATAAATTCTGCTCTCGTAATTCTCATTTCTTTTTTCAGCCACTCTGTTGTGGTTCCATGTTCTCCTCAAATTCCACAGGATCCTCTGTTCCATCAAGTGTAGGATCATAGTTGTGTTCATGGATGTCTAAACTTGTTTATTAGATCTGGAAGCCATATTCTTTCTGTTGTTAATGTCTTCCCTGTTAATCTATCTGCTTATATTCAGGTTCTTTGAGTTTTCTTTCACTAGAATTCTTTGGCTGTGATAGCTCAGAAAACAGAACAATTCACAATGGCCTTCAATCCTGTGCATTATTCTTCCTCTTTTGCAGTGATGAGGGCATCATGGTGGGAAAGGAAGACCACTAAGTATTAGTTTGTAGACTGTCCATAAACATTATCTCACTGTTAGTACCCTAGATCCTCATCAAGCGACCAATAAGTTGACATTCTTCTGAAGGAAGTGAATCATAAACATGTTAAAATTCTTGTACTTCAAATGAATTATGAAGATATAAGGTATATAGTTCATATTTATCATTAACACTTAATTGACTTTATCTTCGTTCTTCTATGATAGCTAGCTAAGAAACTTGGTAGTGAGGTAATGGAAATTTTGATGAGGAAGCAGGAGTAGCTTATGAACAATGGACACTAAGGAGGTACCAATTGGGGACCCTGGACAACCACATAAGGAGAGAGAAATGAATAGTATAGAAATGGGAAGTGTGTAAGCCCTCGTGGGAGTCAAATAACATTGCTAGGACCAATGGTAATTCATATGGTCTTGCTCCAATATTTCCAGAAAAAAGCAGTGCTGTAAAGAGCTACCAGAAAGGAATGCCAGTGTGGAGGAGGAAGCTTCAGGTTCCCTCCAGCCCCACTCCTCTTTTCCTATATTACAGTACCAAAGTACTCAGTACAGAGAGCTTATACTCTCTCCAATTTTTTTCCTTCCTTCACTTATAATATACTTTTTAATCCTTAAACATTATTCTGCTCACTTTTATATTAAAAAATTTAAATATGATTTTATTTTCTTACATATTACATAATTCAAATAAGTATATAAACTGAACATATACACATATGAAATAAGTATATCATCTATTTTGAACCCTTGATCCCAAAGTCATCAGTCAAAAGGATTCATTTATGCCTAAATTTGCACATTTCTCTTCTGCCTGATCAATGACTCCCTTACGATGCATTTTAAGGGAAGCAATCTAGCTGGAGATATGTTTTTTAGGCATTGAATTGCTCATGCTATTCATTCAAAAATCACAAATCTTTTAACCAGACATTTCATGGGGAAAACTTATAGGTAATTACTACCATAGGTATATGTTGTCTTTGTCATTTGTAAGTTAGATTTTTTGCGGGGGGGGGGAAATACTCAGGTTCCTTTCAATCTCCAGACACAACCAAATGATGTAAGTACCTATTAGTAAGGATCTGGAGAGTTGAGCTTTTGCCTGGCAAACTTTCCCACAATGTACTTCTCTTTTTTTTATTTTTAGGCAATTGGGGTTAAGTGACTTGCCCAGAGTCACACAGCTATTAAGTGTCAAGTGTTTAGTCTGAGGCCGGATTTGAACTCAGGCCCTCCTGACTTTAGGGCTGGTGTATCCACTGCGACACCTAGCTGTCCCTCACAATGTACTTCTTAAGTGCCCTGCTTTTTATAAGTGCATCTGTGTACCCAGGGAGAACCTTTTCCAGTCAGATTTCATCCTGTTGTGATGGTACTCAGTGGATGCTTAAAGTTAAAAGCTGAGAATTCTTCTTCAGCTGCAATGCTTAGATTTTTCATTCTGGCTTGTATTCTTCCTGTTTGTTTAAGCCAAAGAAAGCTCTTTTCTACTAAGGTAAATGTGGCTTCTTTACCCCAGATCTTGCTACATAAGAGCGATAGACAAAAGGAATTTGTCTTTCTATTTTTGCTATATAGGTTCTGTAGTTAGCTGTCTACACCATCTTCTCTGTTGTCAGTCCCTCCTCTCATTGGCATCGCTTCCATCTCAATATGTTCTGGGACTGGATCCCTGCAAAACAGAAAATTCATTAGTGTCAGAAGGTCAAGTATCTCCTGAGCTCAAACCAGCAAGTATTTATTGACCTTTTTGTATGTGTAAAGCATTATGCTGGATGCTGAAAGGAAGTTCAAAGTATTATATAATAATAATTTGTATAAAGTACTGAAGCATAGAAAACACATTTACTCTACTCCTTGGTTTTCGATAGCCCATCTTGATTCCTTTAGAAATCATAGGACTTCATAGTTGAAATGGACCTTCACTCCGCAATATGTGGGCCAATGGCCTAGATAACTTTTTTCCTGGAGATGAACTGGATATATGAGTTAATAATACCTGTGAATGTATTTTGACTTCTTTGGAGGAAAGCTGAGATGTGCCAAGCCATATTGAATACAATTTTTGACTTGTGAATTTGACAACGTAGGACCAAACAGCTCCTCTATACTCATGTGGCCCTATCTGGGGACAATGAGAGCAGGGCAGGCTCCACCTTCCACTTGGAGCTCTATTAATTAGGCTAAGTGACAGCAGGGTCACAGCCTGCAACCATCTTGGTGGCTGGCAATGGAATCACAGAAGACAGCAACTCTCCATTTTCTGATAAGGGAATTAATTTCTCTTATATGGAATGAAGAATGAATTCTGCTATTTTTCTCTTGTGCTACTTACCTTCTTCTGAAGCAGAACACATATAATGCCAGAGGAGCTGCCAGGATACTTATGAAAAGAACCACTGGAAGAGAAACACAAAACAATGTTTGTGTCATGATAAATCCAAAGATCTAATTTATGTCTAAGATCCTGAAAATTCTTTACAATTTGCAACCAGCTTATTCTTGGTATTGAATTCTTCTCTGAGTGTCTGTGGTAGAAGGAGCTCTATATAATCCCACACATCTCAGTCACCTTATCCCTGATCCCTTTTATACATGTCTTCCTCCTACTCTCCAGCTATTTGCTCCCTTCACAATATAAATTGCCCAAATAAACAGAAGAGGAAATAGAATACTTAGCCCTGCCTTAGAAAAAGAAATGAAACAAGCCATAAATGAGCTCTCTAAGAAAAAAATCCCCAGGACCAGAAGGATTTACAAGTGAATTCTACCAAATATTTAAGGAACAATTAATTCCAATATTATATCAACTATTTGAAAAAATAGGCAAAGGACCCCTACCCAGTTCCTTTTATGACACAAATATGGTTTTGATATCTAAACCAGGGAGAACAAAAATAGAGAAAGAAAACTATAGACCAATTCCCTTAATGAATATCGATACAATCTGAACTCTTTCTAAGGAGGATAATGTTTCCAGAAGGGTAGAAACTGGCTTCATTGTCTCCTAGGCTAGTGCCTTCCCTCTGAAATTAACTTTTTTTTATACTTATGTTCTATTATCCTTCATTCTCCTCGAGTGGAGAAGGCTGATTCACCAGCTAATATATTTTATTAAATATTATTTCATTATAAGTGTAAATTTAAAAAAATATAACTCTCAAGATATATGATGTTCCTCAGTGCAAATGTCTTCCTTAACCCACACCTAAAAAATACTTAATGAGAGATTGTCTAAGAAGATAAACATTAGAATATCAGGATATCAGGGCTGGAAGGGAGGTAGAAGATCATTTAGTCTAATTGCCTCATTTCAACAGATACGGAAAAGGAGACCCAGAGAGTGAAGTTAATAACAGGACCTAAATTTTTCAGTCCAAGGCTCTTTTCATGACCCCATAGGAAAAAGAACATGAACATAGATACATGGAGAGATGTCATTTTTCCTTCTTCCATTGTTGCTTTTATTTTATTTTTGGCTGGGGGAATAAAAAAAAAGAGAACATAGTATTTAGAGAGAATAAATTATTCAAACAGGAGAGGAAGACTTTAAGTATATATATGCTTCTTGTGTGATTTAGCCAAGAGGCATAAGAATAAAAGAGTGGGATAGTAAGAGGAAAAAGTAGATGTCTCAAGGAGAACGGAAGGGAGACATGAAAGGTATCCAAGGCTTTAGGATGAGATGGGAGGTATAGATAGGACACAAGTTTCCATAAGCACTAAATGTGTAGGGATGTACCCTCAGAATTTTCAAATGAAACCCTTTCAGGCACCAAACAAAAGTGGAGACTTGGACATTTCAAGAAACTGTGATTTAATAGGTATAGACACTCTACTGAAACATCACAAAACTCTTAACCTTAGGAGTCTTTATGAGTTTTTATGACTGAAAAAAATTTAGCAACCCAAAGCCAGCTTTTATCTTGGGCAATTACCGAGTCTATACCCAAAGCATATCCAGAACTTTGATCTGCTGGAATCATGTTTAAGAATTCAGGCTTACCCCCAAACTCTAAGCAATTTAAAAACCAAGAATGGTCTCACAGAAAAGATAATGAAAGGTTGCTCCCTCTTCCCAGCAGAGACCTGGGGGACTATGACAGTAGGACGTTGAGTCCACTGTTAGTCACTGTATAAGATTAAATATATGTATAAGGTTTCTTTGGTAAAAGGACTTGTTTCATTTCTGGGGGGAGTAGAGGAGCATTTCCAGAAATAACTCAATAATCTATGATGTAAAAACAAAACACGTGAATAAAATTTTTTCTTTTTAAAAGAATTCCCATTTCTTTCCATGTCACAATGAGGCATCAGACTTTAATGGAAGAATATAACGTGTAATTAATATAAAGTAGTCAACTGTAAAAAATCCAAGATCATGGCATACATAAATTCTTAGTAGGGTAGGAAGATGGGGGAAGACATGCATGAAGTCTAGTAAAAAGAGAGTCAAAAAGTAAGATTTGTTTAGTGTTTATCCAGTATTGCTCAGGGTGTTCTAATGATCAGTAACAGTTACACTAGACAAACAGTCCTAGAATAGAGAAGGCTGATTAACCAGCTAATAAGTCTTGATGGGAATCTCACTTAACACTTAACTGTTTTTGTTCTAATTCTATGTTACCAAAGATTCTGACCTACAGTTTGGTCTCCTGAGTAGAACTACCCAGAGTCAGTGCTTTGTGTAATGATAATGTATGTTATAATGTATGAATTATCTTGCCAGCTATAACTTCCATTATAAAAATTGGTTTTCTATTTTTATAAACTAATATTGTATGGTTAATATAAACTTGGAACCAAATAATCTCTGTGTTTACTGGTAAAATCAAGTCCCTAAGCAGGCAAAACTGAGGACCAGACCTGTGATAACCTCAATGAGGTATTGCTACCTTGTGAGTCCCAATCTGAGAAACAATCTTTTAGTTGTAGTAATAAGAATTCAATCTGTAGGTAGAAGAGAGAAGGAGTAGGCTAGGGATCAAACAGCAGCTTTAAGAGTCATTGTGTAATAGTAACAAGCTCCAAATCAATTCAGTTAGTCTGACTTGACATCGTCAACCCTCAAAAGCATGAAACATACAGTGAGTAAGATAACCACAACAATGTATAAAAGTCACCTAAATGTGTAGAGAAGTAGCCTCCAGATGTGCAGTCATTGAGACAGATAACTGCAAAGAGGACAAATGACAAGGCAGGCAATTATGATTGATTCTTGTGACTCAGTGATAAATCAGATCCTAGGGAAAATAAATTATGAAGGAGGCAGTAAGGCCAGGCAACATTGATAGAAAAGATTTGCTTTTTCAAACTTGAATGAAACACTAACTTTTATGTCACAGAAGCTAAAAAAGAAAGGCTAGACTAACAAATAGTCTCTATTAGTCACCTAGGTATATCTTCACATTAGACAATAAGGTTAGCATTCCCTTTACTGTAAGAGTAAAGAGAATAAGAGTTATTGGAAAAAGCAAGTGGATGCTAATAATCTAGTTTCTCTTTCATAATACTTGCTTCCTGTTTTTGTTCAGTTACTAAAAATAATTTACAATTATTAAAAGTGAAAGTGAAAAAAGGGAGGTGGTGAGTAGGGGAGACACTCCTCGGCTAAATTTTGTGACTGAAACACAAACCCATAGTCTCTTACATTTTTTTCCATTACATCAATACCCTACCCTCATATGAAAAAATTCAGAGTTAGAGCTAAGCTCATGAATTTACATACCAGCTGCCCAACTGTTTTACCTACTGAGCTTATTAGATGGGTGTGTGACCTAGAAAAGTTGGAGATGCAGGGAAGTAAGAAGAGTTGAAGAAATCAGGGTATTACCATTGGAGAGAAGGTGAAAGAGGCCAGAAACTCCCTTTTCCTCACGATATTCTATTTGCTATGGACCGTGAAATTGTGGTCTCTAAGCATTTAGGAATTCAACATATTTATGTTCTGCAGTAATGATTGTGAGGGAAAAGGAAAAACAGTTTGAGATGGTACTGAAGCAAAGATGTCCTTGTCAGTGGTCCTCTTGCCCCAAGCTACTGTTGACTTTTTCTTGAACTCAGGCTAGGGTCACCAGCACTAGACTAGTTCTGGGCCTAGTGGTATAAGGCTGGACAGCAGTCCAGGAGAGGTGAGAATGATCAATGATCAAAAATTATTTTATATTTAAAAAATGTTAAATAATTTCATTTCCCCCCCATTACATGTAAAAACAATTTTTTTACATTCGTAGTTTTTTTTTAAATTTTGAGTTCCAAATTCTCTCCTTTCTTCCCTTCCCCCCTCCCTGAGATGGCAAACAATCTGATATAGATTATACATGTGCAATCATGTAAAACATATTTCCATATTAGTCATTTGGTGGAAGAAAACAGAATGAGAGCATTTTAAATTAAAACACATACATTTTGAGAACTCCAGACAGCAGAGCTTGAAAAAAATTCTAAGTAGTACCAGACTAAATGACTAAAGTGACACAAAGCCAGAAATTTTCATTATTTGTGGTAGGTATACTCATTTCTTGGAAATGTGGTAAGGAAGAGGCCTCATGTTACTGAAATCAATGTGTAACATTTCTTGGAAACTTGGGTTGGGTATGCTCAAGGCTTTCCCCTCTAGCAAAGTAGGAAAAAGCTGGGACTAGAAGGATCCAGTTTGGATGGCCAGAAACTTCAGGTCAGTTGGGCAAGGTCAGGGGTACTACACAGGGCAGGGTCCAAATCAGAAGTGTAAGTTGGTATCAAAGAATCAATAGAGTTCAAAGGGCAGATGAAGAGATGCCATACAGGGTCAGGCTGAAGTTTCAGACAACAACGAGGATCCAAGTATAACAAAGACATGCCTCTACCTGCCACACTGCAGATATCAGAGTGCTACCACTTTCCCCTCAAAATACTTCCACTGGACAGCTAGTATTCCATCACTGCTAATGTTATCTAACAGCCAAAAAAACTAGCATTATTGAGTCCCTACTAAGAGCCGTGCTACAGACACTGAGGATACAAAGAAAGGCAAAAGACAACTCTTAAGGAGCTCATAGTTTAGTGGGGGAGACAGCATGCAAACAACTAAGTACAACAAGCTGTATGCAGGATAGGACTGGGAGTAGTCTCAGAGAGAAGGCACTAAGATTAAGGAGATCTGGGAAAGACTTCTTCGAGAAGGAGGGACATTAGCTGAAACTTGAAGGAAGCCAGGGAAGTTCAAAGGCAGAGCTGAGGAGGAAGAACATCTCAGGCATGGGGGTTGGCAAGTGCAAACATTTAGTCAGGGAGATGGAATATTTATTGTGTGAGAGGAACAGCAAGGAGAACAGTGTAGAGTATGTGTATGTGTTGGGGTCAGGGGGTTGGCAATGTAAGAAAAATACAAAGGTAGGAAGGTAATGAAGGGCTTTGA